TATCTATCTATCTATCTATCTATCTATCTATCTATCTATCTATCTATTAACACATGGAAAACTAAACATACAAACCAACAAAAAAGGAAAAGACTGGTCTGGAAATAAAGATTTATCTGAAGCCTTGAGTTGGTTTCATTGGATGATATCCAGAAGAAATAAAGAGATCAGGGTGAGATAAGCACTCTGGAGGCCTACTGTTGTAGGAATAGGCAGAAGGAGAAAAGAAGACCGAGGAGTTCAGAGATCAGAAGAGATATGAGGTCAGAGCAAACAGAGATTCATAGTTGTCTGAAACATTTCAGGAAGAGGGATTAGAATGGTTGATGTGGTCAAAACTTCACAAATAGTATAAAGGTATTCTTCAAAAGGAAGCCATTGAATATGATATTTGTTAGAGTATAAGTAAGGTTGGTACTTCTGAGGAGGAATAATTTATTGGTATGAATTAGATTATAATGGACAATACACAAATAATTCTTCTACAAGTTTTTCAGTGATATTGAGCAACAGCTTCAGGAATAAAACAAATGACTTATAGGTATGTTCAACATCATAATAATCAAGGTTATAGAAACTCTAGAATACTCTATGTATGGGTGTGTATGCATGTGCATGTTGGTGTGTGTAATTTATTATGTATATATAACATATATATATATATACTACATACACATAATTTGCTATATATATATTTGTGTGTGTAATTTATTAAATTTTACTGTTTCAGTGTAAATGCAAAGTAAAGAAAACAGAAGAATTTTGGATGTATAAAATAGAGCTGAACCGGAAGAGAGTTAAGGTCATCCTCTGCTACACAGCACATTTTGGCTCAACTGGGGCTACATGAGAAACTATTTTAACTTAAATAAATATCTACAATTATTAGAAAATAAAAGCTAAATTGTTCTCTAGACTGAAAATCGTTTTTCATTCTTAAGTTTCCTTGAATCTTCACCAGAGTAAATACTATTACACTATCCACATTATTCTATTATCTTCAGACATTATCACATAGTAGTAACATTATTTCCATTTAGAGATGAAAGATGTTCAGTGTATATAATTTGCCATGGTAAGAAAAACAGAATTAACCCCATGCCATTTTTTTGGTTCTATTATTTTTGAAGGAATTTCAAATCTAAACAAAAGTTTTACCTGTAGAAGAACATATAACTGGTGGTGGTCTACATGTAAATTCACCAATTTTTCAAAATTGATGCCCTCACTGTACATCCTGGACTCTGAATCATATGAGGGTATGGCACACAGACATTATAACCCTTTCCAGCTAATACTTCTCTTCAAACCTCTTGAGAACAAGTGCTTGGTCTCATAACCACAATGCCCCTGTCATAGTCATTATTTTAGACAGCAGACATTATACAACTCTTTTTCAAGTTTTTTTCCACTAACCTCTAGTGTTTGGTTGGCTTGTTGGCTTTGTATGATAGGGTCTCTCTCTCTGTTACCCAGATCTATGTTGAGATAGTAGGTAATTCTCCCGAATGTTGGCATTACACAAGTTTCCCCCCGTATATGCCTCACTAATGTTCTTCGTGACGATTCCTGCTGTTCAGAACATAGGCCAGCACTGTTCCTTCTCTCGGTCCTCCTTTGAAACTGTTTATCAACCAGGCCTTTCTTTGCTGTTTATGTGAGCATTTCTAAGCAGCAGAGAGTTAGTTGCCTTGAATATTTGATTTTGGAGTTGCCTGATTTTTCTACTAATTAGATTAAGCTAGGCATTTTTATTTGAAATGTGATAATTTTGTCCATTGTTATTATTGCCTTTTGGATTAAGAACAAGAGGACAGCCTACAACCTACTCCAGAAGTTGCGCAAAAAGTAACTAGAAATGAGATTTGGGACTCAATTTTATCTGTTTTTATTTTTTTAATGTTTGTCTGAACACTTAAGTGCTTTATTAAAGATTTTACTTATAATTATGGGCATATGTGTGTGGGTTAGTGGAAATGAGTGCAGTAACCCAGAAAGCCAGGTGAGGATGTTGGGTCCCCTAGAGCTGGAGTGACAGGTGGTTGTGAGTTGGTGGGAACTAAACCCTGGACCTTTGTAAAAGCAGTTGGTGCTCTTAATTGCTGATTGATTTCTCCAGCCCTAAATAGCTAACTCTTGATTTTGAGAGTCCACAGTCTTTCTTTCGCAGATCCTTTCCAGTCACCCTCCTCTGCAGTCCCCACACAGTACAGACAGATCTGTACAGAAATCAGCTGTTGGTTTATATAGTGGTTTTTAATCTGTGTGTCATGTGCCCCTATTACCATCAGAAAACACAGGTATCTACATTATTATTTTTAGCAGGAGCAACATTACAGCTATGTAGTAACAACAGAAATAATTTTATGGTTGGGGATCATCACAACATGAGGATCTCAATTAAAGAGTCTCAGCATCAGGAAGGTTGAAAACCACTGGCTTATACTGCTTCGTGGAGACCAGCCCTGTCCTGCTCTGAACCCTTCCCACTCTCTAAGAACTTCAGCTCCACCTTTGTCTCCCTGTCTCCATATCTGTGCTAGCAACTTTTTTTCCCATATTATTACACACCCTAAACAGAGGACTCTTTCATTGTTCTGCATTTAATTTGAATGTCCTTCTAGATTTTTGTTTGTACAATCATCAAATCTCAAACTAAAATGAGGCAATAGTCTAAGTTTAATCTCTGTTTCTAAGATATTTAACTAAGAGTACACCAAAGAAGGGGATGCTTTGGGGGCTTTTAGCTACTCATTGAGTTCATAGTTCTTGCATCTCTGCCTCTCCAGTACAGAGGAGTTAATTATTTCTCATTCATTAGCATATCACATATGGTGAGTAATATCACTCTAATATCAGACTGACTGTAAACAAGGTCTTACTTTACTATAGACGTCTACATTTTGCTTCTAAGGAAGGTAGCAGGAAACTCTGAAAATCATTGGTAAGCTTCCCCAACATAGATGAAAAGTTCCCGAGGCAGTGATAAAGTTTTGTATTTACAGGTGCGACTTCAACCATCCCGAAATTTTAAAGCAAAACAATTTCCACACATACATGTTAAAACAAATTTTTGCTTGTTTTTTGATTTCCTTGGTGGGAGGGTGTCTTTGCTTGGTTGGTTGGATTTTTTGTTTGATGA